TAACATCAACATAGCACAAAATTTCAGTAAAAGGTACGTCGAAAAAATAAAAAATAAAATTTGCTAATTTGTTCGATCGAAAATCTATTATCAATCGTACTATTAATTCACACTAATGAATTCAACGAGAATCAAAATTTTTCAAATTGTACTACACTTTGAGATTAATTGTACCTAAAGTCCGATGACCGGATGGCGGTTCTGCGTGTAACAGGTATCCGATTCCAAGCAATATAAGGGCCATGCCATGGAATGGTGCCATTTTTTTACGTATGAAATTCTTTCATCTTCATTCGTTGCCCTTTTCGTTTCTTTCAAATTTTAACAAATCTTCAAAAATTATCGATGATCTCTCGATCATCTCTTGATCATTATAATTTTTCGTTCTCCACCTCCTGAATAATTTCTTCGAGATAGTCATGTGAATGATATTTTAACTTTTTACAAATAATATAAATGAAATAAATTTTCACTCACATAAATCATAAATGTTTTAATTCCGTCGCGAGATAATAATTGTAATTGTAATTTTATGCAATTTTATATTACAATTTTATATTACAATTTTATATATGATTTCGTTCAATCTTTATCATTGAAGTAATAGAAATCTCGATCAACAAAAAAGAAAAAAATAAAAATCAAAAAATAAAATTGCACATATTCAATGAAGAAATAAATTTTATTTCAAAAAAACTTGTTATCTTCATATAACAAATAGGATTTATTCATAGAAAAAGAAGTAATATTCAATATTCTTATACTTATTTAAAAAATAATATAAAATGAAAAATATATAAAAAATTTATTAATTCAACTAATTTTTTACGATCATTGAAAACATAATGAAACACCTTCGAGAACAGCGCGCTTCGATAGCGTTTTCAATACTGAAAGCTACTCCTATTCGAGGGAAGGGAAAGGTTAAAATCAGAGTGCAGTGGCGCCTCGCGATATTTCTAATTTGCGATTGCGCCAACGACTCAATCTAGTTTTATAATCTTTTTTACGATACATTTATTTGTTCTTAATCGCACTTTAATTATTCTTAAGATTTTGTATCTTTATCAAGATTAAAATCAAATATATTCAAAAATTTTTTATCATATTAATTTTCGAAAGTTTAAAGAAATAAAAAAAATGATATTTAATTAAAATTGTTCTAAATTAAAGATTAAAATATTAAATTAATAATTTTTTATATTTTAATAATTCAAAAATTGTTTAACAAAATTATTATTCAATGAAATCAAAGAAATATTTCTTATTATATATTCTTATTATATATATTAATTTAGTAATAAAATATAGTATGAATATCGTTATTTTTTATGCTTGCAGGTACATAAGTTACATAAGTATAACATATAATTTTTTTATAATACAAAACATGATAAAATTCATATACTTTAATAATTTTTTTACCAATAATAATTATGTAAAATTATATATAATTATATATAAATTATATATAATTCAATGGATATTGAGCAAAATAAATTGTATAATTATTTAAATCCTTATTGATTATATATAGATACAAAATTTATATATTATTATATTATATTATATTATTATAATATTATTATATTATATATTATATTATGCATATGTTATGTGTGTATAATAATATACTATTAAAATATTTATTTTCTAAAAAAATCACCTTTTGTACCACCAGTTTTTGAAATTAATTCGATATCAGTTATTTTTATATATTTGGGGGAAGTTGCATATTTACACATATCATAAATTGTTAGAGCCGCAATACTTACGGCTGTTAAAGCTTCCATTTCTACACCAGTTTTTCCAGTGCATCTAACTTCTGCCGTGATTTCTATGCGATGTAATTTTTCGTTTAAATGTAAGGATACATTTGCATAAGATAATGGAAGTGGATGACATAAAGGTATCAAATCAGAAGTACGTTTCGCTGCTATGATACCTGCCAATTGTGCCACAGATAATACGTCGCCTTTTTTTATATTATTCTCAACTATCAATTTGCTTATATTTGAATTAACTTGTACAATTCCCTTTGCTATTGCGATGCGTTTAGTTTCATTTTTCGAATCTACATCTACCATGCTTGCTTTACCACTTTGATCTACATGTGATAATGAGGAAAATACTCTTATACTTATATCATTTTTAAATCGAAGTCCCATGTAATCCATTATATATTGTTTCGTTATATCTTTGTAACTTTTAAGATGAATATGTTTCTTTTTAACTGTAAGCACAAACAAATAAAATTAAGCTTATAATCTTTTTAAAATTGTATCATTGATTATAAACAATTCGAGCGATAACGTTTGTGCTTCTTTTTAAAATATTAATACATTATTTTATATTAATATTCAATTCTTATAATATTATATTAATTATTATACTATGTTAATTAACCCCCAATCAAAATCATTGGCCTGTTTTCCATGCGGGATAGATTGAACATTCCTGAAACATACGTATTATCAAAAAGATATAAACGTTATCGCCTGATAAAAAGCTTAATATTTTATTATACAAAGTAATTTTATATAATCCTATTTTAATTATATAAATTAAAAATAAAACTTAATACCCGCATGTTGCTTTTTTTTACGTTGCACCGCTTGTCCGATCATTTTTTTCAAAATATCATTAGATACTCCACTACGTAACGCATCTCGAAGAGATATTTCTCCCTTTCCCTCAAACAAACAAACTTTTAAATTTCCATCTGCCGTTATTCTTAATCTATTACACGAATTACAAAAATGATCACTCATCGATGTAATAAATCCAATTTGTCCTGTAAATCCAGGTATATGGTACGCCTATAAAAAAAAATTAAATTTTTAATAAAATATATAAAAATTATAACATATATAAATTAAATTGTTTAATGAAATTTTTTGAATTATATACTTTAGATGTATCATTGTACTTATTTGGAAGACGTTGAAGATTAGGATATATATCTCTAATAAATTTTTTCATAGTCTCGAAGGAAACCATTTTATTTTGATTCCACTTATTTCCTTGAAAAGGCATATATTCAATAAAACGTATATCAATTGGACGATTTTTTGTTAAATTAACAAAATCAATTATCTCATCATCATTGAAATCTTTCATTATAACACAATTCACCTACAATAAATATTACATATAATTATATTATTATATATATTATATAATTATATTATATAAATTCATTTAATTAGTTCACACCTTTACTGGATTATAACCTAATTGAATAGCTAAATCAATTGCAGCCATAACTCTAGACCATCCCTTTCTACGGGTAAATTGTTCAAAACGATTTTCTTGTAAAGTATCTAAAGAAATATTTATTGCATCTAATCCAGCTTTTTGAAGAAATGGTAACTGACGTGTTAATGTTAATCCATTAGTAGTAATTGCAACTTGTTTTAAATTAGATAATTGTTTCAAACCAGCTATAATAATTATATTCTTTATTGGTATAAAATCAACATGTATATATCATATAACTATATTACATATAAAATAATTTACCAATAATATCCACAATATCTTTTCTGACAGTTGGTTCACCACCAGTTAAGCGTATTTTATTTATACCTTCATTTACAAATAAATCAGCTATTTTAATTATTTCATCTGTTCTTAAAATACCATCATTCTTTGTCAACTTAACTCCTTCTGCTGGCATACAATATAAGCCTATAACATATATAACATATCACAAAATTATTTTATTAAAACTGTAAATATTACTTACATCGAAGATTACAACGTTCGGTAATCGAAATACGTAAATATGTATGACGTCTTCCAAATGAATCTGTGAGTATATCATTGTGCGTATTATTTAAATGATCTCTAAATTGCTGAACCTAAATAAAATACATATAATTTTTTGTAAATTTTCTGCAATAGATGTCACGCAATAAATTGTATAGTTTTTATAAATATTATTTAAAAATAATTAATGTTTTCGATATACAGAAAAACTTACTCTACGTGAAACATATGGTGCAACAGATGATTCTGTAGATGAATACACAACACCGAAAAACGATTTCGTAATATTAATTTTTCGAAACATTTAACGTAATTAATAAAAACTAATATGATTTATGACTTCTATATTTAATAGAATAATTTTTATATAAAAAATAAAAAAATTATATAATTCAAGATTTCTCAAGATGGACGACGTATTTATGTTATCTCTTTCATCGTTTTGTTCAGACTGTACTTATATACGTTCTAAAGTAGTTATCAGTCGAACAATTAAAATCATTTTTCATCCTTGAATTTAACAAAACCTGTTTTTTACCGCGATAACTAATATTAATCTTATAATACGATTCAAATTTTTTTTGCCGCGTATTTATTTCAACCAATCATCAAACGCTTTATATAAGCATTGTATAAATTTTCTGAAATATATATATATATATATAGAGAGAGAGAGACAAAAATTTTACAGTATTATTGAATTGTTTTAAAGCAGTTGATGTGTTTAACCTATTAAGAAATAAAATGTTATTTATTTAATTAAATCCATTAACAATATAAATTTTATAAAACATGTCTTTATTTCCAGCTTATTCTGAAGAAAATAAATCTACAATATCCAATGAATCAAACAATTTTTTAAAAGGTTATTGAAATGCATCATAAATCAATATCAATTATAAAATAGTTTATGATACAATATTTATTTCTAATTACAGAAAATGACTCAACCAGTTGGTTATACAATTCCAGTTGTTTAGAACAAATTTCATCTAATAATTTTGATGTTTCTTCAGATTCTTCAGATGAAACTTTTTATTTGCATAAAGAAGAAACTTTACATACTACTATTGTAAAAAAAGAAAAACTTACATTGGAGGAAAAAAAACCAACTATACATATTAAAAGAAAAAAAAAGGATAAAAAAAAGAATACATATGAAAAATCAGAATATGAGAAAGATGTAAAAAATGTATATTTTGAAGATAAGTATAAAGATAAGGGAAATTATACTATTAAAACTCTTTATTCTCGAATTAGACCATATTATAATATTAAAAAGAGTTCTCTTGGTTTTGTTTCTCACAAACAATTAAAAAAACATATTTATGAAAGATATTATGTAAAAAATATTGACTATATAGAAAAAAACAAGAAAAAAGATACCATTATTAAAAGAGAATCTATTACTAATTCATTTAAAGAAGAGGAGATCCCTTCATGGCACATCAAATTAGAAGAATTACAAAAAATGAAAACTAAACAATATAATGAAAAATTAACAAATAATCCAAATGATATTCAATTATGGTTTGAATATGTAGAATTTCAGGTATATCATATTTACATTTATAATAAGAAATATAATATATTTAATATAACTTTAAGAAAAATATGTAATATACATATATATTATATTTACATATCAAAATCTATATGAAAAAAAACTAAAAAATTTAAAAATGAAAACATATTTTTTGGAATTTTCCAAAAAACATTAGATTTAAAAATAGTTTAAATATATTAATTGCTTTTTTTTAAGTAAGAAATTTAACAATATATATAATTTATATAAAAATTAATTTATTTAAATAATAATAATAATAATATTCCATAAAATATATATTAAATAATTTTCATTAAAATTAGTTTTATTATTTGAAGAATATTAAAATTTAATTTATCAAAACTTTTTTATAGAATATATTACAAATAGTTTTTTTCTAGGATACATTAGGATATTTTCAACAATATCAAACAACAAAAGATATTCATAGAGCAATAACATTAAAAAAGTTAGCTATTGTTGAAAAAGCCCTAGAAAAAAACTTAGAATCCACAATTTTATTAAAATTAAAGTTATCTCTTATGGGAGAACTTTTACCTGCTGACGAATTTTCAAAACAACTTGAAACCTTTGTCAATAAAGATTCAGGAAATGTTACTTTATGGCAAGAATTTATTATGACTACTCAAGCTTCAGTAGCAATGTGTACAGTGCCAAAAGTTTTAGATTTATATTCCAAATGCTTTTGTATTTTAAAACAAAAAGCTAGGACAAATCCTCGAGTATATGATGAACGATTATTACGTATGTAAAAAATTATAAATTATTTCATTATTTTAATTATATAAAATAGATTATATAAAATAATAATTTCTAATGTGTTATGAATAGAAATGATGTATTGG